GGGTCACGCTGGCATTATAAAAGATGGAGCCAGTTTGAAGTAAGACGTGAGGCATTTGGTTTTCATTCTGTGGGGAAAAGCATTCTGCAGGGTCACAGAGAGGCTGGCTCAAGCTATTTTTTTTTATCTTTCAACTCAGTGTGAGGAGAACATTATCTTTTGTGAGCAGTTTTCCTCCAGAAAGTTCCCTTTAATGCATTTTCAGCTTGACAGATTAGTTGGGTGTTTGTTTCCTTGTTTATTTGTGGAAATTGAACAAAAAGGCACACAATTAAAGGTACACCACACAAATTTAGCCAGTGTGTACTAAAATGACCCTTTACTGGGTTAATGAAATGTCACTCCGACCCCCACCTCCCTCTGTGGCCAGAATACTGCATTTGCACTCGAGTGCCGGTCCAGTCCCTGCTGGACTTAGTAAATTTGCTCTGCAGTCATTTTCCAGCATGTTTTAGATCATGAACACAGCTGATTTGTTTAATTTAGTGATGAATCACTCCTGCGGACACTAAGCAAGGCTGGGGAGACATTTCAGCAGTTAGATTAAAGTAGGGCTGCAGCTATCAAGTATTTTAGTATTTGAGTATTAATAATAATGCATTGAACTTATATAGCACATTTCAAGACCCCCAAAGACGCTTTCACACACTCTCACATTCACACACTGCTAGTGATGGTAAGCTACTTGTAGCCACAGCCGCCCTGGGGAGGTCTGACAGAGGCAAGGCTGCCATTTGGCGCCGTCGGTCCCTCTGACCACCACTAACACAGGCAAGTTGGGTGAAGTGTCTTGCCCAAGGACACAACAGCAGGATACCCCTGGCGGGAGATGGAATCGCACCCATGACCCTCCGATCATGAGGCAGCCCGCTCTACCACCTGAGCTACTGCTGCCCCCATCTATCGAATCCCCCATCAATTAATCAAGTATTCTATTTGACGACATTTCAAGTGAAAAGAGATTATGGTCTGCTGCTAAAAATATGAAAATCAAAAAGCAAAATTGTTAGGTAATTTCATTTTCCCATCCAGTGTTACCTGAGGGAAAGTTCAACAAGCAGGTGTTATATTAATAAGCCGATCGATTAACCCATACCAATCTTTACCAATAAACAATTTAGACTTTGCAAAGGGAGAGCAAAAATAAATACACACCACCCTTACTGTAGCAGTACTTAAACAAAACGTCACCAAGCAGAACTAATAACCAGAAAATATTTGAGGCTGTTAATTGGTTGTTGGCAGAAACCATGATTGTACTGCATTGTTTAGAATTCCATTACCAAGACCAAAGAAAATATCCCACTAAAATAAGAATTCTGCACAGAGAAAGAGTCTTGTAACTCTCCTATTCGAATAACCCCACCCCATGAGAATTCTCACCGAGCCAATCAGTGCTGAGCAGCGTACATCACACACCATAATGCTCGAACATGGCGACTGAAGCGCAATTCGCTGCGGCTCTTTCCTTTGTTCTAAATGACTTGGACACGTTGTTAAAAAGACAAATGCACAGTGAGGAGAAAGTTTCACTTTTGCTTTGAGTAACAGACACTAGGGGGTGCTAAAAACTAGCCAAATTGCAAAGTATCTCTTGAAATTCTTGTTTCTCAGATTTTTTTTGGGGAGTGAACAAAAATCCACAAAAGAAAGCTTTTATAATGTCCTTTATGAACAATGTAGCTACATAAAGACCACAATTAATGCACGGTGCAGCAAAAATCACATTTGTTTTTATTGTAGGTAGAAAAATATAGTAAATGGTCACCTCTCTGGCCTGTTGTTGTTAAATCAATGATAAATATTTTTGGACGAAAATAATTCAAGCTGCAGGTCGTCTAGTCATGTCTGCTTCCCTCAGGTGTATCTGAGCACTCCTGTGGAGAACAATAATAATGTTTAATTGATTAAAATAATGATTAAATAAATCAATTTCAGAACATGATTAATTTTGTCTAAACCCATTTTGTTGCTGAGGATCCCTACTTTTACATTTTGTTTAGTCTTTATTTACAAACCCATCATTTTTGAAACCTTGTGTATAAAATGTACCTCAGGTTGACATTATTGCTCCCCTTTTTAAGTCTTTTGCTTTATATGCATTTTTGACTTGTAAAAAGTCTTATTTTTATTCAAACCTTTTCACTGATATAGCCTGCTTTGTAGAGGAAACTTTGCTCTGCTGTTGCATAAATTTTTAGAATCAAAGAAATAGCACACTTCATATTTCGTAATACCCATTAATTTTCAGTGTATACTGGTGGGAGATGGAAAGACTTAAAGCAGATTTATCCACAGCTGCAGGAAAACTCAGCCCGCTTTGCTCTTGCACTTTGTTAGGAACTACAAAGATGAATAGTAATATTTTTATTCGCATTTTAGGCTGTAAAGTGACATTTTGAAGTTTTGTATTTCATCATAAGCTGCTGCCTCCTAAAGTGAACTCTGTTGCTGCTTAACAGGCAACATTATTTCTAGTCTGTGTTTTACGGAGTACGGGTGTGGGCATTAACTCAAACACACTTTTGATACCCTAGGAGTCAGGCTCCTATAGCAGCATTGTAGCAGCACGGTTATATTGCTTGTTAATCTTTAGTTATAAAAGGAAAAATATGTTTGAGAGAGGAATGTGTAAACAAATAATGGTCAACGTTGGAAATTCAATTTGTATAGAAAGGAAAAACAAAAAGTTGGTCAACTTGCTATGTACTTTCTTTCTCTTTTGTTACTTTTGCCAAAATTAAAAATTTTAAAGTCACATTTTAGCACATAGAATACATTTGTAACGAAACAATCACATTCTGACTCCGAGTCAAAATGCACTTCCCTCTGATTAGTGATGCTCCGATCCGACTGCGTGATTTTCAAAGGATTCGGAATCAGATGGTAAAAAATCTGATTTAACCTTATTAAACAAGAAACATGAATTATTTAATTCATCCTGATAAAGATTTCCAAAAGAAGTAATAATGTCAAAGTTAAAGATTTTATTTCCCACTATCATGATTTTTTCTTTGTTCCACGAAAACAACACCATAACGACTAGGGATGAGCGAGTACACCACTATCTGTATCTGTTCAACCAACTAAATTATCTGTATCTGTATCTGTACTCGGAATGGGCGTGGCATAACCCGGATGTGGGCGTGGTTTAACAGGAAGTGGGTGCGGTTTACATCAATATATTGTTTTAAGTCTGAAATTGATATGGATTGATCAGAAGTTGATATGTGTATTGTTTATTTTGAAAACTATTTACAGAGCAGCCTCAGAATTGAGATTAAATATTTTTGATCACAATAGTAAAGAAACTATTACAGAACAAGTGTTTCAATAAAATCAGAACATTAATATTTAAGTGCATGGATTAATACATCTGAACTCATGCAATAGGAACTAGGAAATATGAAATGCTAGAACCAGACACAACTTTATATATATTTTTTAATTTTAATTTGATTAAACAGTTTTTTTTTCTTAACGTTCTTGGCATTTCCCCCCACAAAGTTAAACAAAACAATGTTGATTAAGGTGTGTGTGTGTGAGAGAGATAAAGAGGGAGAGAGAGGGAGTTAAATAAAAATAAAAAACCTTACCGGAGCAGAGTTAGTGACTGACGCAGCACGTCAGATCTGTCTTGTCAAATGCACCATGTAAGTTACGAAAAAAGTTACTTTAAATATTCAACCGAAAAAGAGGCGAGCTGAAGAAAACCTAGGGAAAACTGAAGAAACGTGAGCAACAGTGAAGCAATCACAGCGAGATCCGTTACTGTCTGTGTGTGTGTGGATGAACCGGACGAACTGAGCTCCTGGCCGGCTGCAGTTTTTTATGTAGGGAGGGGCGGGCGTTCAATGTGGCTGGCCAATCACAGAGCGTGAAGACAGTCAGTTACCCAATGAGGATTTTCCTTCAGCACGATTACAGATATTTACGAGTTTTACTCGTTTCATGCTCGTATTCGTCAAAAATGTTTTATCCGTACCGGATACTCGTCTGAAACGAGTATAAGGCTCATCCCTAATAACGACGTATCATTTTACGCTAGGAGGGGAATTCACACACCTTAACATGTAGCTCTTAGCTAGCAGGCTAATATAGTGCTGATGTGTCTCCGCAGGAGAGAGAAAATATCTTTAGTTTGAACGTATTCTTAACCAGACAGTGAAGGCAGAGTAACAGCCTCTTGTAATGGAGTGCATACTTGGCATTATGTTGTGAAAAGATAGAGCTGCAATAAACATTACATGTATGATACGCTACTTCACTGCGGCAACTCGGACAAAAATACGGAGCAAGCTGATACTGAAACATAGTGAAATTGCTGGCAGACAGCAAAACGTCAGGTTTGGCATTCTCCTGGAGCACCGCATGCCTGCTCCATGTTAGAAACGCTCGTCAAACAGGAAGTAAAAAATTTCAAATAAGAGCCACAAGGCTGCTTTAAAAATATTCAGATTATTAGCATATTTATTGTCGATGTACTTTCTGAACGTGTGATGTGTTTTGGCAGATGAACTAAGGAAATGACAGAAATACAGAAATAAAGAAATACATAAATAATGAGAATAAAAACTTGAATGTGTTCTCCTTTCTTCTTATTTTAGTGTATAGCTAAGGTATCGTATCGGGCCTCGATATCGGCAGACACTCAAAATCAAATAACTCGGATTAGATTTCTTCACTTTTACCCTTACAGAGAAAGTTTCATTATGCTTTATAAATCACTTTATTTTTTTTTCAATGATTATGTGTTTACAGAGATGTACTTTTTCATCTACTGGCACCAGTCAATCTTTAATTTAAAAGAGTAGCTGCAGCTGAAGGGAAAATGTCAGCCTTTATGTGCTATAATTGTGTGTTTGTCCGTTTTCCAGTCCTGATCAATACCCATCATTCCCTTAGCTTTGAGCTATACCAATTTAATTATGGTTGTGCTTGGAGGTTTGATGCTTTTCCTTCTATCCACTGACGTATGTGTCTGGCCTCTTGTTTTGCAGATGATGAAGTTTGCCTGGGACAACTACAAGCGTTATGCCTGGGGCAAGAATGAGCTGCGTCCATTGACGAAAAACGGCCATATTGGCAACATGTTTGGTGAGTGTCCATGCAAAATACCAGGAAGAGAACTTTTTATGCAGAAATCAATGACGGGCGATGAAAAGAAAAAAATTTGTAAGAAAAAAAAGATCAACATCCTCTCAATGGGACTTGAATGAAGTCATGTATGCTTGTGTTGAAAACAACTATGGTACTGTGCAAAAGGCTCCCAAAGAATCCGGCTTTCTTTAAAAAATTTAAAAGTGATCTTGATCAATATTTCTCCTGGTTTTTTTACGTTGTGTTTGACTTGAGCTGCTTTTGATCACTTTGGCTGCAGATTTGTTGTTTTACATAGAGAAAATCTCTAAACAAACTCTCAAGAGCTGACAGCTTTTTCAAGTTTTATCAGTGAGAATAAAAATCTTCTATTTAAATAACAAAAAGCCAAATCAGCAAGCTCTTCTTTGAGCTGCATTTAGACCAGAACTGATAACTAAAACATCACACATCGATTCTCCTTAGAGTTGTTGGGAATGTTGTATTCCCTGAGACATTTGACATGACATTGCATTAAGTAGCTGCGTTTCCAATCTAGGAGTTTCAGGAATATTTTGGGAGGGGGAATGCGACCGTGAAAATATGATAGCTTGGTCCTCTGAGCCATTGTGTCAAAAAAAAAAAAGCATGTTCCCTGGGGGTGACGTGGAAAGCAATTGAGAAACACTGAGGTAAGCATGTCGCACCCAGTGACTGTACCAGGACATTTCTGAATAAATACCCCAGTTCAGGTACTGTACTCGATTGGTCCATAAATTGGCTCGTAAATTGGTCCTTTTGGGCTGGACCGAAGAAAGGGAAACATGCTCATGTTATGAAGGTTCAGTAAAATTACTTGGAAGTTCCTCGGCGACGGTGGCACAGGAGTTAAGTGCTCGCCCCATAATTGGAAGGTTGCAGGTTCGAGCCCCGCTCAGTCTGTTGCTGTTGTTGTGTCCTTGGGCAAGACACTTAACCCACGTTGCCTGCTGGTGGTGGTCGGATGGACCGGTGGCACCAGTACTCGGCAGCCTCGCCTCTGTCAGTACGCCCCAGGGCAGCTGTGGCTACATGGTAGCTCATCCCCACCAGTGTGTGAATATGTGTGAATGGGTGAATGACTGATTGTGTTGTAAAGGCCCTTGGGGGGTTCCAGGACTTTAGAAGGCGCTATATCAAATACATTTACCATTCCAATAGTGGAAACAGGCCTGATGTTTGCATCAAAATAATGGCACTGGGATAGCCTGGTAAGCCATCCTATATTTGTGAATATATCATCTGGCAATGAGCTGTTGACTGCTCTCGGCCATGGGGCAGGATCTACTGTTGTCTTTCAAATTGGGACAACAAACAATGTGACTTACTCTGTTACGGATATCGGTCAATGGGAAAGTCTGCCATTACATCATGGAAAAAGACAAAACTTGTCCAAATTGTCCACTAAATAGTCTAAAGTTGATCCCAAAGCCATTTGAAATTAGCTGTCTCCATCCTAGTTTTGCTCAGTCACCTGCCTGAGAGCACTGCGACTGGCCGACCAAATCAATAGAGAGCTGTTACTGGACCGCTATGTATGTAAGTCAACTGGGCAGTCTGCCGTACACAATGGCCATACATCATGGAAGAAGACGAAATACATAGGGTGCTTCTCAATGCCAAGGAAGTTTGCCTTGATGTGTTGGCCCCGCCTCAGTTGCCTAGGAACATTTTTCCCAACCCTGGTCCTAAGGGACCACTGTCCTGCATGTTTTCCATGTTGCTCTTTCAAACACCAGTGTGTCTCTGCTGCCACACACCTGACTTAAATGAATGAGTGATTAACTGGTATCTGCAGCACTTGATACCCTCCTGAGGAGCCAATATAAATCAGGTGTGCTGAAGCAGATACATGGAAAACATGTAAGACAGTGGTCCCTGAGGACCAAGGAGATATGTCATCAGGAACCACCAAGGCGTGTTCCAATGTTCATGTTGTATTGAGGCATCTGTTTTCCATTTGTTAGCCGTTTAGCTAGCTGAGCAAGGATGGGTGGTGTCTTGTAGCATAGCCTTGGTCAAAAATTTCCCAGAATACACCATGGTTTTTTCAAAAGGATGGTGAATCAGAAGCCGGCAGCTACTTTGGCGGTCAGCTAATTTTAGTGATTGGACTGACATCTGAAATGTTTTATTTATTTATTTTTTTTATATCCAAAGCAGTTATCTATGGTTGGTTAGTTGCTTAGAAGTTGCAGCTTCAGTGGCTAGCAGGTAGTCTCTTGCTTACATATTTAATTTAACAAATATATACACAATTTTAAAAGTGAAAGGCTCGTTATATATTTATGCTGAAACATATAAGTGTAAAATAAAACATCTCCGTCGCGGTCACGTGACGCAAGCCTGCTCCATTTAACCGTTTTCTTTGACCAAGGAAGGACAGTGTCCTTGTAGGTAAGGCGCCTGGCCTTGCAAGGTGATGTCTTGCGAGGCCAGGCCCCTTGACATTGAGAAACATCCCTAATTTTTCTAAATAAATGCTCTGTGATTGGCCAACCTCACTGCTGTGGAGGTTCCAATGGAGTGTGGCTAAATGATTTTGCTTCGGCAAATGACGGTCTAGAAACTAGACTAGCACTGGAATACACTATAGTGGAATATTTTTTTTTCTTAAGAGTAATATTGCTAATATATATTAATTTCTCACTACAATTTTAATTGCCTGTCACTCAAAATATTAAAAAATTGTATTTTTAGATATTAACAAAATGATTTTGACACAACCTAACAGATAAAACCACATTTAATTGCTACAAATGTAATTTAATCTGTGGATATACCAGTTTGAATGTTTAATAGATGCTTAAAACTCTAATTAGTAAAAAAAATAAAAAAATAAAGTTTCCAGATGAATGCAAGCTTCTAACCTGCTTGTGTTCTTATCGAGCTCCTGGCACCGAGCCTTGCTCAGACTTCACTCAGCGCAGGAAACTTCACAGAATGCAAAGGAAGTCATCACAGTTTTCACCAGACTAATTGGAGCTAAATCCGGAGGGGTCCTCGGATCTTCATCAGTGGAGCACATCAGGCACTTCTCACTGCTGTGCTTGAGGGCCTTAATAAAAGGTGGATCAGCTCTTAATAAGACCTGGATCTGAGTTATATTCCAAACTTAAACCCTATCTCACTTCCTCTCATCTATGATTCAGATTTATTCAAGATGCTGAGCTATCAGCTGTTTGGGATCCTAGTTTTGTCAGGTTTATTTAAAGAACATTTCTTTAGATTGTATCTGCACTGGTGTGAAATGTGTGTGAAGAGTATATTCTACATAATTTATTAAAGTATAATAGGAACATATTTCAGCTTCATTTTATTATTATACATTTTTTGTGAAAATTATGTTCTTAAGATTAGCTTATTTTCTAAAATAACCACATCCAAATTGACTTGTCTGCAAATTAAAATATTAATTCAACAGAAAAAGTAAAACCACTTAAAAATAGTTTTTCAATATTTTCATGCTGGAAATAAGTCCTCTTGATTTTTGTGTAGAGACACAGGTAAAATTTGATTTAGCTGAGTTTATTTATATAGCACCAAGCACAGGGAAACTATATATTTTATTTTTGTCTTTTCGTTCTAATACTTGTTATTTTGTCTACATGAGCACAATATTTGCTGGCAGTGCCATGCAAGGTGCATTTGCTTTTGAAATTAAGGTGAAATTGTAGACAAGTTTGTAGTTCATATTTCAAATACTTACGCTTCCTAAGACTATTCTCAATAAAACTGTTTACCTCAGTGATATTTGATATGATGTTAAAGGTTCCATGTCGTTCTACTTTAAACCTGTGAGAGCAAAAGTAGGCACAGTATATTAGGGATGTAAGAAAATATCGATAAGGCAATATATCGTGGTTGTTTTCCTGCAGTATTATATCAATATTCAAAAGCCATCTATCAAATTTTTGGAAGAATTTACATGCAAACATTTGTGTATTTTCTTTTGGTGCAATTCAAACGCCGACCGCTAGTTGGCATTAGTGTGCAATGGGGTTTGTTTCCATAATTGAAATGTAAAGCCCTTTGTTATGATTCAGATACCTCATGTTAAATATGTTAATCAGTTTGGACTGTTTATTGAATATTCCTACAATAAATTCAGTCTAAAAAAATCGCTAATAACGTTTGACTGAATATATCGCAATGTATCATGATCGTCTCCCCTGTATCCATACGCTACATAGTCGAATATTACCACTGGCACTATTGAAGTGCCATTTATCTTAAATTCAAGCCTGAATCTATACCCGGAAAATAAAGGTTAATTTCAGTGAAACTCTGATCATGCCCGTTCTGATAAAACATGCCTACAAGAGCGTCTTAAGTGAATCAGTTGCTGTATTGGCCATGGTGAGCGAGTACACCACTGTCTGTTTCTGTTCAACCATCTAAATGATCTGTATCATCTCGGAGTGGGCGTGGCCTAACCCTGAAGTGGGTGTGGTTTACATCAATACATTATTTTAAGTCTGAAATTGATAAGGATTGATCAGAAGTTGCTATGTGTGTTGTTTATTTGAAAACTATTTAAAGAGCAGCCTCAGAATTGAGATTAAATGTTTTTGATCACAATAGTAAAGGAACTATTACAGAACACGTTTTTCAGTAAAATCAGAACATTAATATTTAAGTGCATGAATTAATACATAGAGAGAGAGAGAGAGAGAGAGAGAGAGAGAGAGAGAGAGAGAGAGAGAGAGAGAGAGAGAGAGAGAGAGAGAGAGAGAGAGAGAGAGAGAAACCTGACTGGAGCGGAGGCAGTGACCGACGCAGCACGAGCCGTTTTCAGCTCTGTCTTGTCAAATGCACCACGTACGTTATGAAAAAAGTAACTTTAAATATTAAACTGAGAAAGAGGCGAGCTGAAGAAAACCTAGGGAGTACTGAAGAAACGTGAGCAACAGTGAAGCAAGCACAGAGAGATCCGTTACTGTCTGTGTGTGGATGCATGGGCCGGACTGAGCTCCCGG